AGGGATTCGCTGTCAGAAATGGACACATATTGCGAGCGATCCGATACATACGATCGAAACCAGGTTAGCGAACGATCACCAATACCTGAGTTTTTGAGTTTGTGCAGTAGAATGTCGTGGTCTACTGTGTCAAAGGCCTTTGCAAAATCAAGGAAAATAGCTCCAGTTAGGGCTCCTTGTTCCATGACAGTTTGGATGTCATTGTAAACTTTTAAGAGGGCAGTTGTAGTGGAGTGATTCTGGCGAAAGCCCGATTGATCAGGGGTCAGATAGTTTAATTGTTGGTAGTACTCACATAGTTGTGTATGGACACATTTTTCTAAGATTTTTGACAATACCAGGAGCAATGATATTGGGCGATAGTTAGAAACCAAAGTAGTGTCACCACTTTTATAGATAGGCACTACTCTCGCAGTCTTCCAAAGTTTGGGTATGTATCCAGACACCAAGGATTCATTAATTAGAGTTGCGACGGATTTAGCAATTGCCGGCGCACTGAGCTTCAACAGCATTGCTGGGATTTGATCAGGTCCGGACCGGTTTTTCATTTTTAGATTATTAAGACGTTTTTTAATGACATTAACAGGAGCAGGTCTAAAAATAAACTTGTCTATATTGGGCCTTTGCAAATTTAGTGTGACCTGATCCACATTAGTAGTTTCAGGATGCGTATCATTTATTAGCCTGGCAATCAGGGCAGTAGAGCATCTGACAACATAATTGTTAAAGGCATTTGCTACATCTAAGGGAAGTTGCAGGGTTTAGCCACTTTGACAGTGGAGGGTTGGGAGTGGATTGGGGGAGTTTGTAGTTTATTTATGACTCTCCAAAAGTTTCTAGGGTTTGAGATGTTATTGTTCAGATTTTCATAGAAATATTGGGCCTTGGCTAATTTTGTCTGTTTTGTGCATATATTTTGCCATTGTCTATATGCACAGTGATCATTCATAGAGCCAGTATGCTTAAACTTTGACCACAAAGAATCCCGAAACTGGTTCATTTGGATGAGGCCAGCTGTGATCCAGTTCATATGTGCTCCTTTTACCCTCACCTTCCGCAGCGGGGCATGCAAATTCCAAATTTGTAGGAGTTCAGACTGAAAGAATTCAACAGCACAGTCTAGATCTGGGATAATGTTTAATCTGTGCCATGGGAGGTTCTTGATGTCATTAAGAAAGGATTCAAGATTACATTTTTTGAAGGACCTAGTTATTTTAACCTTGGGAGAGGATTTAATAGCCTTTATTGTGCGCACGCAGTACACTAAACAGTGATCACTGAACGTGTTTGGGAGAACACCAACCTCCTGGATTCTATCAGGAGAAGTGGAGAGAATCCAATCGAGCAGGGTATGGTTATGGCTTTTAATGTTTATGCGAGTTGGGGAGGAGATTAATTGCGTTAGCTGCAAAGTCTTAAACAGCGTGCAAGAACTATTATTTTTAGGATTCAGCAAATCAATATTAAAATCTCCAAAGACCAACAGTTCACTTTTTGGGTTTTGAGCTATGGATTCACTAAGGAGATGGGCTATGTCAGAAAGGGAATGCACAGGGGAGCTAGGTGGGCGGTAGATTCCTGCAGCAATTGATTTACTGCATGGAATCTCAATTGTGCCAGAAAGGAAATCAAAGGTGGCAGGAGCACTAAGGTTTTGTAAAGGGGTAAACTTTATGGAAGCATAAACATTAGTAAAATCAAGCATTAAAATGCATAACAAGAAAAAAAATATGAGATCTCTATTTAATCAATACACTGTTTATAATTGCCTTTAACATGAAGCTGGTTTGTAAATGTGAATAGCAGCTGTACTTCATTTAAAGTTGTAACATGCATAACTATGTCATACTTGGGACATATGGCAATGCTGAGCATCAAGGCTCCTAGCAGATCAGACACGGCGATTTCTGATAACGCATGTTGTTTTGTAGAATAAAAAACATACTTTCATAAAAAGACTGGGTACCCTTTCAGCAAAGCAGAATAGTGAAAATGATTAGAATTGCTAGAAACATATTCTTTGTCCATATCGCAATGGTAAAGTCTGAGCTGACTGAGAATCATGGGGAATATATCTGAGGTGACAAGTGTTAATATAGAAGATTTTGGCCTTTTCTCTAATGGGTTCTTAAAGATGCTTCTGACATGACATATAGCCCAATCAGGCTTTTTTACTTCAAAGCCCAAGTAGTCAAATTAGAGGCATAACATGTATCCAGTACAGCTACTTTTACTGTGAATTTGAAATTCACGGTAAAATAAACCCTGTTGCCCTTGAAAGAGTCTCGATCTGCCTCAGAAAGCAGCATGTTGGAAGATTCTAAAGAAATGTAAATGTTAAGCTCATGAGATATGAAGAACAATGGTGTTTTCCATACACAGTACTAAGTTAAAGGAGAAAAGGACTATGGTCCGGGTTCAGTTTCAGTCATAGGAACCTGAATCCACACAGTTTGTGGAACATTATGCTTCTCGTTATACTGACAATAAGGCTACATATAAACTCATTCACATGGATCTGAAAATGGTCAATATTGACCGATCTGACAATAGCTCATTGGGAGTGACTTATAGGTCCCAATGTTTTACTATGACATTCAGTATTCTTAACTATGTATTTTTTTTCTATTCAGATGAAAGATTGTTTAAATGTTTGCTCACAGGACCTTGTTTACTAACCAGTCACACACCTCTTTTTCATGTTTGCCTCCACGCACCTCATCATCGACCCTATTGCATTGTGCATTTAGTGCTGTTTCTTTGCCTTTTCTTATATGTCCCCTTGCTGTTTGCAACTGAGATTTTAAAAAACTATTTTTGAATGAGTAGTCCACATAGTATCTCCCTATCAAATTTATTGGAGAAATGAACTGTTCCATCTGAAAGGCTCATAGGCATTATTTGACAAAACTAGAACCCTCAGCTAGCGTTGTACGCATGCTGTGTCCTATTATGTGGACAACTCAACAAACAGTGTACAAAATGCAAACTACGAAATAAAAAAATATAATGAACCATATTATGCACCACATTACTTGAGACTAGAGTCAGAGTATTACAGATATTTATGGAATAGCCTGCTTCCGCCATCAGACTCTCCCCTAGTCTTTAGGAAGTGCCTTAAAACCCATCTCTTTAGGAAAGCTTATGGCCTCCCAGAGTAATCTCACATACCTGTCTCTTGCTCTCTCCTCAAGGGCAGCACTCTATTCTCTCCTCCAGCTCTGCTTCACTCCCACCTGATTTGATTGCTATTTCCTGTCCAATTGTGTATTATACCCCACCTCCTATAGACAGTAAACTCTTTGAGCATGGTCCTCTTCAACCTATCGTTCCTGTAAGTTTTCTTGTAATTGTCCTATTTATAGATAAATCCCCCCTCTCATAATATTGTAAAGCACTACGGAATCTGTTGGCGTTATATAAATGGCAATCATATTAATAATAATAATTATATAGCATTGGAAGGAGAAGAAGAAAGTGTGAGGATGTGACCCAAGAGAAACAATGAAACGAGACAGAGAAGAAAAGAATGAGGATGATAAGTACTCCAGCCAGTTACACCATATTTTAGTACAGTATATTCATCGCAATTTGTATGCTCACCATTGCCATCTGCCCAGTCTCCTAAACCTCAAGATGTATATCGCTGCAGGAGGCTGTTTTTTTTTTCTTTAACAAAGTTGCATTACAACCTTTACTGCGTTTAGCAATTGATTGATTTTTTTTTCAATTTACTTAATTTACATATATAAAGACCAATGTATGTTGTGGACCAGAAAAGTCATAGAAAAAAAGAACTTTCATTGTTCTGTGTCTTTGTAAACATTTCTCCAAAATCCCTATATTTGGAGAGTATGCTACCACAGTTGGCGAAAGCCGCACTCTTACAGGTATCTTACACAATCTAGTATGAAGGGCATAGTTTGTAAGACATGACTTCAGTCTTCACACTATGCAGACCTTTCAACAGTCATGCTTTCGGAGGGACAGTCTTTCTGGGTCTTGTCCCACTGTCCCATCTGGTAACTGTGTGTTCAACTCTTGGGCTGGTAGTATTTAGTAAGAGGAATTTCACAATTTCTATCTTCTGCAAGAATTTCAAACTAAAGTTGGCATGAATAAATGGTAACAAAAGTTTTTTTAATGAATTATTTCCAGTGTTTAGAATGGTGGTGACCTAAAAAAAAATGCCAAAAAGGGCATTATAATTTTGCAATTTTTTAAAGTTAGAAGGGTTGGAGTAACCCTTTAGGCTGGAGAAGACATGTTAGGGTGTCATAATATGGAGAGTTTGGAATAAGTATAGTACCAGAGCAAAATTTAATTTTTATTCCATTAATGTGGCCTTTCCAAGACAGGCAAGGTAGATCGATTGCCCCAAATGCTTCAAGAACTTCATAGAGAGAAGTATAAAACTGCTCTTATAAAGAATCGTTCCCATTATATCTCATTTCTTTAAGTGTTTCCAACCACACATCCCTGCAAGTCATGCAGTAACAAGTTAAGTTGTTTTTTTTAGCATTATCCTGAGAGTATTGTTCTAATAGACTCTTTATCCTGTGAATCATCCAACCTGCAAGTTAAATCTGTCATGGTGATCGATCGATACCTAAACTCAAGGACATTAACAAATCTGCTCCCAGTGGTCCCAGCTAAAGCAAAGCTATGTATAAATGACTTAATAATGAACTAAATAGATTGATACACTGTTCTGCCTGGTACCAGGGAAGGAAATTCATTATATGAAATCATTGCAGTGAGGTGAAATAAACTGCGGCGATGTTAACATAATGAAGATAAATCAATTCAAATAATCAATTTAAAGGGAAACTCGTATACTATGAGAGTCCAAGATACTGATCTATTTTTTGTTTCGTCATATTTTCAAAGCTGAACCTGACTTAAAGGGTTAAGTGGTCCAATCTCATTTAGGAGGTTGGGTAATGATTTTCAATAAAAGGTTTAATTAATTCTGGCCATGGTGCTCACATAATTTATTAGTAACAATTGTTACATTTTCTAATGAAGACACCAGGGAAATGGACACTTAATTTGGACGTCAGGGTTAACATGTTGAGTGTCAGAAGAGATGAATGAATGCATTGCTTTGTAAAGGGGAAGAAGAAAATTGATGTTATACTGTGGTTTATAGAGTGTAATCCTCATAAGGATGTAACCAGACAATGGCATTATTGGCAAAGACATGTTTCCCAGACTTTCTATCAGAACTATGTTGTGTCAGGTTAAAGGAAGAGACTTGCTCCTGAAAGTGGATTGTACTGTCCCAAAAAATGGCCAGGACTCTTACTGACATAGGGAGCAGACCATAAAGTAAACATGAAGATAGTGTTTTGGAGACAGAGAACAACAGGGAGGTAAATGTAATTAAAATACAAAATATAGGGGTTGCAGCTGTTAATCTCCAAAGAAAAAAACCACTAACATAGTGTAATACAGTACACATACGATTGCACTGCCAGAAATGCACTCAATAGATGGTTGATGAGTATGTCGCCATAAGGTGCCTCCCCTTGGAATTCTGGGGGATATTCCAAGTCTCCTCCAACTTTGTTAGTAATTATCACCACATACCAAAGAAAGGACTCCGCATTTAAGGGAAGAGTGGGACATCATATCTGTACTGTATTACACTATTTTAGGGTTTTATTTCCTTTGTAGATTCACAGATGCATCGCCTATATTTTGAATTTTGGCTCTGCTGTTTGGGGATAATATCTGGGATATCCTCAGGGGAAGCTGTACATTTCTAACAAACAATAAATCCTTTACCACATTATACACCTAGTGGTGAGGGTGTGGGAATTTCTGTATATAATGTACCTGTAATTCCATTAATTTGGATATTAAATCACGTCCTCATAGCTCCATCAAT